GACACAAGGGACACAGAGGACAAAAGGGAACACAGGGAACACAGGAGACACAAGGGGAGACAGGGGAGTGAAGGGGACACGGGGGACACAGGGAACACAAGGGGACACAGGAAACACAAGTGGTCACAGTGGACACAAGGTACACAAGGGGACACAAGGAACACAGGAGACACAAGAGGACACAGGGGACAGAGGGGACACAAGAGACACAGGGGACAAAAGCGGACACATGGGACTCAAGGGGACACAGGGAACACAAGGGACAAGGGGGCAAAGGGGACACAAGGGACACAGAGGTCACATAGGGACACAGGGGAGCCAAGGAGACACAAGGGACACAGAAAATACAAGGGAGACAAGGCACACAGGGGATACAAGGGGACACAGGGGACACTGGGGACACAAGAGGACACAGGGGACACTAGGTACACTTGGGACATGGGACACAGGGGACAAAAAACTGAGGGGACTCCCGTGCGTATTCAGAGATTTTGTTTAATACAAAACTTTTGTTTTGTGTCGCCGACCGTGCTTTACGCCTGTCAGAGCAGGAGTAACAATTTCTTTTAAAAAACTGTTAAAATCGAAAAATGTGCAGCTTGGCACGTTCAGTGTCAAGGATTATGTTACATAAGAATTTACACTGTAAGTGGATCGATCTTTGAGCATCAACGCGCGCACGATGCCCGATTTACATGTAACAACATTTTCTTTTAAAAATTGACAGACATGTTACATACAAGGTGAAGTTCACCTCAAGAGTTTCTTAGCGAGCGGAAAGTTCTTTTTAGGCCGCGAAGCGGCTGTGCGAGCTACGAAGTCGCAAGTAATAAATTGTAACTTTTGGACTTTAAATCAAGAAACCAACAGCTGCACGTCGCCGGGCTGGGTGAGCTGGACAATATTTTCTGTCGCCTGAAGCCAAGTCTTAATCATGGTATTACAAATAGTTATAAATAGTTTCAAGGGTTACAGGGAGTTACAAGGAATTAAGGAGGGCTACACGGGGTTACAGGGAGTTACAGGGGCTTCAAGGGAATGTAGTATTTACGGAACAGAACAGGACATTTTGCTAACACCGACTAATATGTTGCATAGGGCCTGAGAGGGGTAACTATCATGAACTTGAAGGAGCAGTTCCAGCTACTCCAAAAAGGAAGGTGCAAAGTTTGGGTATTGGTTATAGGGGTGACATTATCCCAACTGGATTTGAAATAGCTCTGGGAGGCAAGTGTCATTCACCCGCACACCTTGTAAAATCAGCTGTAAAATAATACTTTTATTTCCCCCTTAAACATGTAACCCCGTTTACTTATTTTACGATACACTTTTCTATTACTGGCCAATGACTGGCAATGAATGGAGATGTTATCAGTTGTGTAACTTCCGTATCCCTACTTGAAACTCCACGCGTCATGCATGATTAACAACTGTGGACTGTTTACAGTCCCCTATTTTTCCGTAAGATCGTCGAGATCGAAGGTTTTGCGTTACAAGCAGCCATCTTGGATTAATGTCAAACCTACTTAGGGGGCAGGGGACGGTTTCAAGATGGTCTCCCATAACGATGAGCGCTCGATCCTGGCGATGTAACCAGAAAATAGGGGACTGTGACAACTGCAGCGATCTCATTAAACTGTAGCCTTGTGTTTGAGACATTTCAAGCCGTCTCAGAAATAGACACCTCTCGTAACACTAAGCGGATGTGAACAACCTTTTCAGGATCCACAGAAGCTATGTAAAGTTTTCTACCTTAAGCATACGGCAAAAAAAGAAAATAAATGAATAAAGTAATTCCCAAAAATATGTCTACCATCCACTACAATGTAGTCATTGAATATTCTAATTTAGAACGGAACTACTATCGAAATATTATGTTTGTCAACGTTGACCTTGCCTGGAAGTGAAAGGTTGACTATTATAATGTGAAAAGCCGGCATGGAATATAAAAGGAAAGCTAGAGAGAGAGAGAGAGTTCACCCAGAGAATTAGTGAAAACAAACAAAATTTAAAATATTTTGAATTTTGTGATTCAGTAAAGCAGAAAGCACAGTTCTCGATGGCCAGCATAAGCAACCTCGTTCCCAAGGGACAGGTAGGAGGGAGCCCTGGGAACGAGGTTGCACCACAAGCGCCAGTTGATTGACTGTTCACTTTTGTGGCATAAACCAAAATACACATCCACTTAATTTAGCCTAACAAATTGCATCAGGGAACTTCAATTTGACTTCTGTTCCAGTGTCTTTTTTTCCGGCACCAAGATTATATCAAGTCCACCTTCCAGTTCCGTAACTTGAAGACCGAGACTCCTTGCGAGCTGCGAGGTAGTTGTTTGTTATTTTTCTTTTGTCGATCGAATGGAATGGCTGTTTTTGTCAATTCTTTGTAACCTATTCAACCTAAAACTAATCCAAGCCGATATTCAAGCGTGTCACTACGACAGGCAATGCGGCACTGGCTTGCAATGCTGTAGACGCACCGAGGGTAGGGGTGAATCATCGGGGGAAGGGGGATGTCGAGAGAGCTGTGACGATTTTTGTCTGAGAAATGACGATTGTGTACCTCCGAAAAGATGCGATACTTCTTCGAATCTCTGTACGACAAAGTGTGCAAAGGATGACGAGTGTCCGCGTAATCATGTTTGTGAAAATACGCAATGCGTCATGATCCATGAAAACACTCAACGTAGTTTTATCGAAACTCCACTGGTCGTAGCTGCGGTTTTGGTATTTATCTGTTGTTGTGGTGGAATAACTATGCAAAGGCAGCGTCAGAATCATATGAATAATAATGCCCATATCGACGCGGAAGCAGTAGCAGTTGAACGGACGTGGCAGCTCGATGAATCAAACGGTGAACGAGACGCCATTGCCATGAGCGGGCCTCCTTCTTATACTGAAGTCTTACACAGTACTGAACCGGAGGAACCTCCGCCGACATACGAAGAGGTCGAAGAGACATTAAGGATTTCTGCCGAGAGTCATGTTTGATTTTTCTTGAGCTTTAGTTATTTATAATAATGAAGGGGTGCGTGGAAAAAGGAAAAGGCCTACAATGTCAGAAACCTGGGGGGGGGGGGGGGGGGGGTGTCGCGTTTGTGGTGAAGGAGGAGGCAAATGTTGGGTGGGGTAGTTTTGATAAAATAAAAGTGAGTGGTGGAGGGAACGTGTGCATATGCTCACTATGATGTCACAGTGTC